TTTTTTTTTTTTTTTTTAACCCATTTGCGGAAACCATTTCGAGGAGTACGTTGACGAGGAGCGGTGTAACTGCATCTGTTGTGCGTTGTCCGCTGGGCAATACGAAACGTGTTTTTCTCTTTCACGCCGAACCATTTTTATGTATCACCCTTCGCCGTTAAAGCGTTGCCCTGTTTCGTCTGAGCAAATCTGCTTTGTATGCTTGCTGCGACCCGTCGTCAGGATGCCGTTTGCCACTGCTGATTTGTATCCCCCTGCACTGCACCCCTCGTTGGGATATATCGCATGGGAAAAAAAGAGACAGTCAGGTTATTGCTGTCCCAGATGGGGTTAAGTTTAACCAAACACAGTGACGATGTGGCTTCGTAAAATAAAATGATTTACGGAGGGTGTGCGTGAATTTTTTTTTCTTTTCTAGCACACTGCATATCTTCACATTTATGCCATTTCGCTTGGCAAACTGCCATATAGCAATAAAAGGGGCGAAAACATTTTTTTGGAAAAACTTGCTAAAGGGTAGGCGACCGGGGTACAAGCCACTTGGGGGGGTTAGATTACGTGTAACTAATCTGCCCGACGGGGATGGCATAAATGTACATATAATGCAGTGTGTTAGGAAAAAAAAAAAAAAAAAATAGGGAAGCGAAGCGAAGAAAAAGGGAAGCACAACATAGCCGAGCAGAGTGAACAATTTCAAGTTGGAATCTCTACCCTCTGTTGACCCATGTTTACTTTTTTTTTTTCTTTTCACCCGCTCTGCCGCCTGCTCCAACCCCACATGACATAATGTCACAACAGGACCTAAGTTGTGCAAAGGACTGGGGCTAATCGCCTAATCAACACATATAACGCTCTCAGATGAAATTACTTTTGAGGGGAAAAAAGGAAAAAATGAATCAGCATAATAATGAAAAAATTAATCGAAAAGAATGTTATAAAAATAAATTACCACAACTTTTTAAATAAATACAAAACACACACAGGGTGTGAAGGGGATGCCACTGACAAAGAACTGTACGAACACTTCATCGTAAATCCGCTCACATATTCCGGGGCAAGGGGATGCTTGCCAAAAGGGTTCATCCAATGGAAAGAACTCCAACAACTGGATGGATTAAACATTTTTGAAATTGTCGATTATGTCAATGTGGGGGAGCGGCTGTACAAAATTGATGAGATCGACGGGGGGGAAGATGACCAAGTGCAGGACTGCCCTAACGGATTGGAGGATTCTGGAGACTCGCCATATGATGATCCCCCTGATGGTAGCAAGATCAGTCGATTTCACAAATTGAAGAAGAAAAACGAAAAGAATGACAAAATAAAGACAACAAATAAGAAGGACAAGAATTACCTGCCCACCAAGGGGAATCCAAAAAAAAGAAGAATTTTTCGCTTTTTACTCTTCGATGGGAATAATTTTATTTATGCCTATGAGAAGGAGTACAACGAGAATTTTAACTACCTAGAGAAGTATACTTATAGGTACCCCAAAATTATTTTGTATAATAAACCCTCCATTCAACGTGGGACTCTATTGTTAAAGAAAAGTCAGGTGGCTATTTTATTTAAGGGATGTAAAGAGTCCGAAACGGGTGGTGCCCTTTTGGAGGATGACGAGGTGGATGAAGTGGCCCCCACCACGGCGAACCCCTTCCATGAGCAGGGCAACCAAAGTTACCAAGGTGCCATAAAAAAGAGAGAAAACGCTAGTATTATCAATTTAGCCGATGGATCAACAAAGTACGCTTATGAGGAGGACAAAATTGGTATGCGCCAAAAAATGCAGTGCAGGGAGAACCAGAATGATGATTCCCCCAGGAAATTCTACTACGTAGAAGACACGGCAAGAGATGATTTCCAATTTAGCGACGCGTACGTCAAAAGGGTGAATCATCCCAACGTGGAGGACAGAAGTAAGTCCAACATATGTAACAGGATTAATCAGCACAGCCTTGATGTACTTGGAAAGGAATATTCCCATAGCAAAGGGGAACATACATGGGAAGGGCGTACTAATGTGCACAGTGTAGAAACGGAAAATACACAGGCGGTGGGTAGCAACCCGAATGGACATTACAACCGCAACACTAAGTGGAGTAACCTTCACAATTTGGAAAAGGTTGACGGGGAAAATTTTAACATGGGCGATGGTAACTACAGGGAGAGACACCCAAGTGAACACACCACCGCTATCCACGTAATGCAGAGCGAAAATGGCTTCCAAAAAGAGAGAACCTACTTCTGCAATAGGGATAACGATCGGGGATACCCCACAAAGTGTGACGACAATTATGCGAGAAACTCTGGTGAGGAGTATCCAAGGCTGAGCGAGTATAACCATCAGATGGGAAGCCCCATTTATTGGTCTAAACAAACGAAGTACAGACATGCTAGCAACGAACTGCAGGACAGGGGATATCATACATTAAGTGATACTGTAGGAGGAGACTGGAGTGGCCACCTCAAACATGGAAGCAATAGAAACAAAGGAGATACCAGCCAGTTTAGCAGCCAGTTTAGCAGCCAGTTTAGCAGCCAATATGGCAACTTTGGGCGCATGGCTCATCCGATGCATACAAATGATCCAGAAAAGACGAACAGCTTAACAGCGCTTGAAAAGGGAAGGAGCGACAATTGGATGATGGGCAACCGATCCACAAAAACGCATTCACAGAGTCGTGAAAACCAAATGGGTGAGGCGCTGCAAAATGTAGAACGCACACATCTTGAGGCGAAATACCCAGTGGGAGAGAACCTTGCTGGGCTGAAGAGCGGCGAAATTTTCGGCAAAACAGATCAACGCTGCGATTCCATAAACAGAAAAAATGACAACGAACCGATCGATTTGACGGAAGGGTTTTTTCAGTTCGATTTTTTTCACAAGACGCAAGAATTGGACAGCGTGAATAAAGGTAGTGAGGTTATTATTGTCGATGACTGATTTTTTTTTTTTCTTTTTTTTCCAATTTTTACCTGCACCGTTGATACAGTTTAGTGGGAAAGCGGGTCATTGTGATGATCAACACCGCAACATTGACTCATTTGACACATTCGCATATTGGCGGCATGTGCTGGGCAGCCACTCCCTGTGCGCGCATTTTCCAGCAATTTGCATTTTTCGTCGAAGTGACAGCGAAGACGGCTGTTACATATGAAAGTTACGACGGGTGCCTCCCCATTTTGGGAAGCCCTGAGAGGGGGGGGATTTAAAAGAGCGCCGTTTAGCTAGTTGACTAGTTAGCGAGTTGGCTGCTGCTACCTAGCTAACTATTTTTTTCTTCCCCGCGCGCTATTCTGCACAGCTAGTCATTTTGCGCCTCGTTTTGCGTTTAATGCAAAATTTGCATGAACAAACAGGTGAAGAAAAAAATAAAATCGCAAATTAGCAAACTAGAAAATTAACAGAGTAGCAGAATAAAATAGCTCCACATGCACACACGAAGACTCCCCCCCTCGCGCTACACCAAAACGTGGTCCGCCCCGCACACGTCCCTCCAGGAGCCGTTATTTTTTAAGATTTTATAGGCGCGCTTCATTTCGTTGACAATAGTTTTGTGGTTTTGTGGTAAGACGTTGGCCACATTTTTGCCCACTTCAAAGGGGTTGTCCACGAAAAGGAAGTAGGACTCGTAACTTCTTACTGCCTGGAAGTTCTGGTAATAATCGTTTATGTCTCGTATGGCAATTATGCCACTTTTGTATTTGTATCCAAAAAATTTGAAGAACTCAATGAGCAAGGTTGACGTGTCTACCTGCACATCGTTGTAGTTATTAATTCTGCGCAGCTCCTCTCGAATGACATTTTCGTCCTGGCAAAATTTACAATCAAGCCCCATGACATAAAACGGTTTTTCATTTCTTTTGAAAGAGATGTCTTGAAGGGAGGTAAGAATTTTGGGCTCCGTCACATATTGCAAAAAGTGAATTATCATTAAAATTAAAGAAAATGACGATAAAAATCCTTTCGATCTGTCATTTATATTTCTATTTTTGGACCAATACTTTAATGCAATTCCCATTAATTGTAGTCTTTTATCTATACTTACATATTTTTGAATCAACTTCGAGTTAACCACGGCAAGGATGTTATTTACTGAAATGTCACAGGACAGCTCAAATGAGTGTCTTAAACTTTTACAATAAAAATGAATGATTGGAACTTTTGCAGAAAATCTCTGCTCAATTATTCCATCATTAAAATTGTTCAATATGAGGCAAATTTTTTTTAGGAATGTTATTTGGTCCTTCCTGTTGAGCAGTATCGGGATTTGAATGCATATATCTATGTCGCTGTTTCGGGTCCAGAAGCCGTTGATGATAGAGCCAAAGGGCGTTACGTGACAATTCCTGTAATGCTTATTTATTTCCTTTTGCAGGAAGGAGAGGAACGTTTTTATGTTGTTAACGTCGTTTTGGGAGGGCCTGAGTGCGACTTCCAGTTTTCTCAATTCTGCGTCGAGTGCATTTGTGGGGGTATCACTTTGGGGTGTATTACTTGGGGGGTAGTCTTTAGGGGAGTGATTCGTCGCACCGCATTCACTTTCGCGTTCCCTTTGTATGTACCAATTTAAGTAGGACTTCATCTCCGCATGCTGCATATCACCACTCGGGTTTCCCTTCCACGGGGTGGCTCCGAATTGGTGAGGAATCCCCCCTCGCATAACCGCACAACTGCTGGTGGCATCGCTCAAAGTCTTAACGGGTTTTTTCTCCGCTTCGTCTAAGTTATCGAAATGGTTGTCCCCTGCGTCGGGATACGCCCATTTGGTCCCCCCATTGTGAAGGCTTGAATTTGGCTCGGTGCAATTGTCTGGATAATCCTTATGACCATCTCCCTTTTCCATTCGGATGTGAAGTTCACCCACATCATATCGTTCAGCAGAATGACACACTTCTGCTTTCCCTTCGGGCGATTCCTCCCCATCCGAGTCGTCACTACTGATGTAGTCGTTTAAAGCATCAGATAGCTTAACGTTGGTGAGCTGGATTTTCTTATCCACTTGGCAGATTTCGCCCTCTCCTCTCCTATTCTGTTCGCTGGTGCCCAACTCGCAAAAGGAATGGAGTCTCCTACAACGTACTTTGTAAATTCTTTGCAAATTATTACTCACCGGGTGAAAGGCGTAAATTGGCATTTGCCCTTTTTCTCTTAACAGGTGTGAGAAAAGGGTGGAACATTTTTTAACGTTCATTTCGTAGGCAAAATGGTCCTTCACGTTTTGTGTGTTGTGGTGAGGATGACTGGGATGTTACCAACGGATGTGGTGCTCTTTATGGGTTAGGGGGGTATTACTACCAACGAGAGCTACATTCCTTTTTGGCTTTTTTTTTTTCTGTTTTTCCCCATCAAGCGCTTTTATTTACGTTCCCGTGGGGGCATTCGCAACGCATCATACACATAGATGCGTGTATGCCCTTTCCACACAGTCGTTTTGCCAATGGCATGGCTGCTTGAACGTAGCGGGTCCCGCATGAACATTTTTCCTACAATAGCAAGAAATGGCGCTCCCTCGTTTAGAGTTACGTTTGGCTCACGCGGGATGCCCCTCAGTAGTTATCATAGTTCGACGCTGCTCACAGCTACTCGAATCTACTCGCATCTGCTTTCCATTTCACATTTTCCGCACAAGTGTCAATCAACGGGGTAAAGCACCTCCTAAATGGCCCCAACTGTGTACGATGCGGGGGGTGAGTGACTCACTTGGCGGAATGCTCAAAGAGGGGCATTTTCGCCGTTTCGCACGGTTCTACGAAATGCATCTCCAAACTGGACCTCAAAAACGGTAATGCAGATCATATCTTTGCAACTCAGACAAGGCTAATATGCTTTACAGCTAACCCTTTTCGCTTTACCACTTAGGCAGCACCGCGACGATGTGCGCCACGCCGTCGGAGAAGCGTCAAAATATGCCATGCAGTTAAGAATGCCACCACGGAGGAGTTAGGAGCGTACATAATAACTGCATGCGCGAAGTTAAAAAAAGGGGAAGTGCAAAAATAGAAAAAAAAAAAAAATTAATAAATGGGGCACTTGTTTAAAAGTAACTTGACCTAGCCGTAAGAATAAAGAAACATCCTTTTGGACGAAAAAAAAAAAAATATATTTTTTTTTTTTTTTTTTTTTTTCACATAACTATGCAGATGTGTTAAAATAAAAAATGAGAGATGTTTCCCTTTTCTGAAGGGTTACTGACGAAAGGTGTGCACAGCGGGAAACACAACAGAAATGAGTTTCCTGCATGTGTTTGCACTTCCACCGTTACAGAATGTCGTGTCCTGTTTTTTTTCCTTGGTCGAATGGTCCATTCGAACAGTTCGTGCAGCTGAGCATGCAAAGGGGGGAGAGCAGTATGCACCGCTTTTCGCCCCACCGGTTTGCCTGTCATTATGGGTACTCATCAGACTTGGGGTGTCCCGCTTGGATATCCCGCTTGGATGTCCCGCTTGGATATCCCACTTCGCGAAGACGTGGAGACGCCCTCCTCACGCAGTACGCACACCACTTACTAGATACCTGTGCGCCTTCTATTGGGGGTGGAGCTGCATCCCCTCTTCAGTAAATGCCTCCCATATCGCCCATCGAATTTACCGAGTTCATGTGGGAGTTGCTCTCGTCCGCCTTGGCGTCCTTAAAATCGACAATGGCCACCTCCGTGGTGGTCATAAGTGAAGCAATAGAAGCTGCGTCCGAAATGGCTGTCTTGACCACCTTGGTGGGGTCGATAATACCAGACTCAATCATATTTACATACTTGCCTTCCTGGGCATTAAATCCAATGTTGGAATTTTTTTCTTTTAGAATATTTCCAGCCACTACGGATCCTTCATGTCCAGCATTCTCTGCAATTTGCTTGATGGGTGCCTTACAGGCATCTTTGATAATGTTGACACCGACTCTTTGGTCATAGTTATCCGTTTGCACCGAATCTAACTCTTTGGAAGCAAATAATAATGCACTTCCTCCCCCGGGGACGATTCCTTCTTCCACAGCAGCTTTCGTTGCGCATAGAGCATCTTGTATTCTGTCCTTAATTTCGTTCACTTCTACTTCGCTTATACCTCCAACTTTGATGAGAGCAACTCCACCAGTTATTTTGGCTAGTCGTTCTTGTAATTTCTCCTTTTCATAATCTGAAGTATTTAACTTAATAGAATTTCTTATACTTTCGCATCTTTCGTTGATTTCTTCTTTTTTACCTTCCCCCTCCATGATAAGAGTACTATCCTTGGTTACGTTAATCGACTTGGCTTTGCCTAAATAGGACACGACATCTGGGTCGTCTAATTTCAGTCCTGCTTCTTCGGTTACTACTTTTGCTCCTGTCATTACAGCAATGTCGTGTACGAGGGCCTTCCTATGTTCACCAAATCCAGGGGCTTTCACAGCACATATTTTTAACCCTAACCTTAGTTTGTTCACTATGAGGGTAGCCAGGGCGTCACTATCCACGTCCTCTGCGATTACTAATAAAGAAGACTGGTTCTGTAACACATGTTCCAAAATGGGTAGCAAGGATTTAACGCTGGAAATTTTTTTCTCATGTATGAGGATATACGGTTTGTCTAGTTCTACCTTTTGATCTTTACTATTGTTAATAAAATATGGAGAAATGTAACCTCTATCAAATTTGATTCCTTCCACAATTTCGAGCTCATGTTGTAAGGTTTTTCCCTCCGTAACAGTTATGGTGCCTTCCTTTCCGACCCTTTTCATCGTGTCCGCTATCAGTTGGCCTATGTTCTTATCCCCGTTGGCTGAAATACTAGCTACGTTAAATATCTCCTCAGTTGTAGTTACATCTTTTTTTATAGAATTTAGGTATTCTAGAACCCGTTCTACTCCCTTGTTTATTCCTCTTAGTAAATCCATTGGGTTCATTCCTGAGTCGACAGCTTTGCATCCTTGTTGAAATATGGACCTGGCTAGGATGGTGGCGGTTGTTGTTCCATCTCCTGCCTTGTCATTCGTGTTTGCTGCGACTTGCTTTACCATTTGCGCCCCGAGGTTCGCCAGCTTGTTGTTGAACTCGATGCTTTTCGCCACGGTTACTCCGTCCTTGGTGATTTTGGGCGATCCGAAGGACTGCTCGATGATCACGTTGCGCCCCTTGGGTCCTAGCGTCACGCTCACGGCGTCGGCCAGCTTGTTGCATCCTTGGAAGGGGGACGGGGGGAAGGACGCGGAAAAGTGAACAAGTGGTAAGCCGAAAACGTGGCGATGTGGAGACTCCACGGAATGGGAACCCTCACGAGCGCACAAACTACAGAGGTACACACGTACACACATAGACACGCGTGCATATCGTCGCGTGCCAATTCTCAGATGGGGCAAAAATGAACGAGCTCAGCATATTGCGCGCTCTTTTCGGCATAAAGCATTTCTTACCCGTGAGCATGGCCGTCCTGGCATCGCTACCAAACCGTATGTCCTTCGATATGCTCCTTCTCTGAACAGCGTTTAAAATCGAAACAGATTTGTTCGTGCAGCCGCCGTTGTTAATAACTTTTGCGCGGAGTGTAGATAGCATTTTGAACGGGGGTTACACTGAACTGAACTTGTGAGTTTTTTTTTTTTTTTTTTCTCCCGTGATTATGCCTATTTGTTTTGTATTCCCCTTGTAATGTATGCAACGCTTGGGACGACGTCACGGTGGATACACCGTCAATCGAGGCTACCCGGGGATGTTGTTCACTTGGTAAAGCGGCGAGTCAGCCAGGCAAATCGAGGAAACGACGAAAAGCACGGTTTCGTTTTTGTGTACACAATTGGTGAGGAGCTGAGCTCGTAACGCGAAAATTTTTTAAAAGAAAAGGAGAACAAAATTCCAAGTGTTGTTGTTTTTTTGTTGCGAGTAAAACTGCGAGTGACGTTATTTTTTATCGTATTTTTTTTTGTTTCATGTTTTATGCTTCATTTTGAAATATTTCATTTTTTGTTCCATGTAAGTTTGTTCATTTTATTTTATTTTTTTTTGGCCCTTTATGCGTGACAAGCGGTCTCTCATCTGACGCGAATGGATTTTTTTAAAAAATGTGGATTCATGGTCCCGCGTTTTTGGGTGCATAAAATTTACCCTAATGAATCAAATAATATATGAACACAACATCACGGTAAAAGGGGGAAGGGAGAGGGCTGCACCTCCATATGGCTTGTTTATGTTGTCATTAAATGGATGCCACAAACTGGTCAGCACATTATCGTACTATGTTTCACATGTAGGATACTTAAGGAAGAAAAATTTTCAGCTAAATTGTTCACCCATTTGTGAGTGGTTTACAAAGGAAAAAAAGGAGGGCCTAAACGCGACGCGATGCTGTGCTGTGCGTATGTATATATATGCATGTATACCACCAGTGTACAAAAAAAAAAAAAAATTAAAATAAAATTAATTAGTCAAAAGGTGCAATTTAACCTTTCCTAAAAGAGATGCGTAGCGAACATGTGCATTCGGCTCCCATGAACCCATTTTGTTTTGTTTGCTTCTTTTCATTATGCCTAATTCGTTGGTCGTTATTACACCGTGGAAGGCGGATTCCCAAAATGGATACTTAAAAAAATAACTCCTCGTTGGAAAAGTGTAGAAAAGGTACCTTCCCTTGCCTCTTCCTCTTTCACGTTTACAATCGTGACACACCGTGGCGATAACTCGCTGGAACACATTTCCTCTTAATTTACTTTTTTTAAAAATGCGGGAAAATTTTCTACAAAGTATAGGCCACTTGTTGACCTTTCTTGATGACTTTTGGTGAGATCCTTTTTCCCTATTTTTATGCAATACATCTGCGCTCCTTCTGATACGCGAAAGTTAGGAGACTTTTCCTAAAGTGTTTGTGTGATTAAAAGGGAAATAGTAGGTGTATTAGGTTTTTTTTTCGCTTTTTGTTTTAAAGAGCGTTTTTTTTATTAACTAGGAAATACTTTCCCTTTTTGCTTTAAACACCTGCGTGTTTTGCCAGTTAAAATCTAGAACTTCCTTCCATTTGGCCGAATCTCTGCTTATGTTAATTTTATTTAATAATTCTGACAAGCCATCGTAATTCAAAATGTACGGGAAAAAAGCTAGCTGTTTCGAGCTAAAAGTGGTAGGGAAGAAGGAAAAAAGAAGAAAGAAAAGGAGAAAAAAAAAATATGAAC